CATTTGTCCCTCAGATTTCCATAGCCTTCCCCTGACCCTAGGAGGAAGAGAATTTGCAGAAAAGACCTTACTGGGAATTGAAAAAAATCCAGCCTGGAGTTGGTAGCTCACACCTGTAATCCTCTCTACTCAGGTGGCTGATATCTGAGGATCAAGGTTCAAAGCCAGCCAGGACAGAAAAATTCAGGAGACCTTTACCTCCAATAAACTACTCCGAAAATTCTGCAAGTGGCACTGTGGCTCAAGTGGTAGAGCACTAGCCTTGAACACAAAGAGCACAAAGAGACAGTGCCTAGGCCCCAAGTTCAAGCCCAGAACTGGGGAGAAAAATCCAGTCAGGATGTTATGAGACTCCACTGATAGAAAGACCACTTTTCAAATGTCATTATAAAAAGGGGCAACCAATCAGGGCATAGCTCAAGGTATAAAAACCCCTAGATAAAGCCAGGTGCTGGTTGCTCATGCCTGTAATCCTAGCTACTCAGGAGGCTGAAATCTGAGGATCATGGTTCAAAGCCATGGCAGGAAAGTCCATGAGCCTGTTATCTCTAATTAACCACCAGAAAACTGGAGGTAGCGCTGTGATTCAAGTGGTAGAGCACTAGCCTTGAGCTGAAGAGCTGAGGAACAGTGCCTAGGTAGCGCCCAGGCCTAGAGTTCAAGCCCCACAATCAACAAAAACAAACAACAATAAAAAAAAAAAAACCTTAGATTCAACCAGTTACAGACAGCAGCAGAGACACTTCTGAATGTCTTGAATGAAGGCTGATGTCTTGAAATTGGTCCCTAATACAACAGTGTTCAGAACTAAAGCCTCTGGGAAATGATGGGATCATAAAGACTCTGACCTTATCCATGGATTAATCTATGGTGAATTAATAGACTATTAGAAGATTATGGAAACTTTGAGAGGTAGGGTCTAGTCAGATGAAGTACATCATGCAGGAATGGGTGGGAGACTGAAGAATCTATTTCATTCTAGCCCCTTCCCTTCACTCTTTGCTTCTGGGCATCATGAAATGAGCAGCTTTCTCCATCACCCATTCCCTGCCACAATATTCTGCCTCTCTCCACAGGCCTAGAAATAACAGAGCCAAGTAATCATGAACTGAAACCATGATCCAAAACAAATATTTTCTTTACATCGATTTTTTTCTCAGACATGTTGTCAAGCAGGCCTACTAAGAGGGACAGATATTTGACCTCACGTAGGTACTTTAGATCGAAGACATGCTACCAGCTTTGATTTGAGAAAATGAATACCCTACATTCTTCTGATATTAAAATTTAAGTTAAAGTCTGGGAATGTAGCTTAGTGGTAGAGTACTTGCCTAATATGTATGAAGCCCTGGGTTCAACTCCTCAGTACCACATAAACAAAAAAAGCCAGAACAGGCACTGGGGCTCAAAAGGTAGAGTGTTAGCTTTGAGCACAGACAGGCTCAGGGACAGTGCTCAGACCCAGACTGCAAGCCCCAGGACTGGCA